GAAGAAAAGAAGCACGTTATCAAGCAAAACTCAAAATATGGGAATTATGCTTTTGCTTTTTTTTTAACTTCTTAAGACATTTTACTTATTATTTTTATTTTATGTATACGCGTGCATTGCCTGCGTGTAGGTAAGTGCACCCATGTTGTGCAATGCTCTCGGAGGTCAGAAGAGGCTGTCGGATCCCCTGGGACTGGAGTTATGGACAGTTGTTAGCTGCCATGTGGGTGCTGGGAGTCCAACCGGGTCTTCTGCAAGAACAACGAGTGTTCTTGACCACTGAGCCATCTCTCCAGCACTGCTTTTGCTTTTTTTAGACCACTATGAAGACATGCACATTTGGGGTTAGAGAAAGGGCTCAGAAGTTAAGACCACTAACTGCTCTTGCAAAGGACCCAGGTTCAATTCCCAGCACCAACATGGCAGTTGACAACTGTATGTAACTCCAGTTCCAGGAGATCCGATGCTCCCTTCTAATCTCTGTGGGCATTTCATGACATGGGTGCACTTACATACATGCAGGCAACACACTCATACACATAAATATAAAAAATAAAATTTTAAAAAAAGACATGTACATTTAAGGATAGAAAATAAGAGCTAAAATTTGAGTTTTGCATTTTCTCTAATTTTTCCCATCATTCACTATTTGTTTTGAACTATATATTTTTACTTTTAAAACATTTGGAAATAGTTATTATTTTTGCTGAAAATACAAGGAAGTAACAAAGAAATGTATGTCTGTGACATGAAGATATAATAAAACGAAAACCTGCATAGTAAAGTCTGTTTTAGGACCTCCACCAGTAAAGCCAGTACCTTCAATAGACAAATGTGAGAGCCTTCGTTCCTCAAAAGCAGAGAAAGTCAAATGAGTTTCTGTAGTAAATATGATGGCTTGTGAAGGTTATCTAAGAAACTCCCCAAAATAATGATAAACAAAAAAAACAACACTGTAATGGAAAATCTGGCAGACAGCACATTAACCAAGTAAGTGAAGTTTAATCAGCTGTACTAGAACAAACTGGTAACAAGTGTCAATACACAGAGGAGTCATTATCACTGCCGAGATATAACGGCAGCATGAAAGCAAAAAAAGTAGGCATGTTATTATTCTATTCCTGAAAAGACATCACTTTTACATAAAGTTCAAGCTGTGTGCTGTCTCCATGACCTGTAACCACAAATAAGGTATTTAAACAGACTTTCTCCAGAGTTCTAAACAACGAGTCTTTCAAGACTAAGTATAATGACTAATTATTATAATCCTCGTTCAATGTGTATTTTATTAATTCTTACTAATATTAACCCATACAGTTGATGGAGACCCATATAGAATGCAAACACTACATGTTTTACAGAAGAAATTTAGGGTACCAATGCTCTCATGTTCATTTCTCAAAAGGACATCTTTAATACTACAGACCATTAATTCAAGACAAGAATTGTTTATAGCATAGAGCAATACTTGGGTGAAAGAATGCAGGAAAGACTCCTACTAATTAAATAGGAATATTTTAAAGTGCTAGGCCTAACATGAAAGAAAAATAAAGTAGGTGGGGGAAAAAAAAAAAAACATTGGGACTATGAAAGGTAGAAAACTCAAAGTCTGCAAGTCCATTTAATTAATTATTTATTTATTTATTTATTTGGTCTTTTTGAGACAGCGGCTCCCTGTAGTCCCAGCTGGCCTGGAACTCACAGAAATCTGCCTGCCTCTGACCTCTGCCTCTGCTTCCTAAGTGCTGGGATTAAAGGTGAGCTGTCACCATACCGGCTCAAGGTTTGTAAGTTCTAAATACAAGGTACACTGGCAGGAAAACTGGACAGAGATGATCCAGTAGGTAAGGTGCTTGGTGCAAGCTTGAGGATCTGAGTTTGGATCCCCGTGTAAAAAGCCAGGTAGGGCACTTGTAATCCCAGTGCTGGGAAGACAGAGGCAGGAGGATTCCCTAGGGCTTGCCAGTCCAGCCTAATAGATGAGCCCCAAGTTCAGTGATAAACCCTGTCTCAAAAAATAAGGTGGGGAGCCTAAGGGGAAGACACCAGAAATTGACATCTGGATTCTGTGCACGTGTGTAAGGGGAAAAAATTATTTCTTAAATTCCAAGTCTACTTCACCCTGAAATTCTTTTCTAGGCAGTCAAGTACCCCGGCTTCATGGGGCTGGAGAGATGGCTAAGAGGTCAGGAGCACCTGCTGACCTTCCAGAGAACAGCATTTCCCAGCACCCATATTAGGCAGTTCACCAATCACTTGCAACTCCAGTTCCAAGAGATCAAACGCCCTCTTCTGGCCTTAGACACACACATACACACATAAAGAAAAACAAAAAGTCTTTTTTTAAAAAAATCCCAGTTTCACCAGAATGGAGGTCTCAGAAAGAAATCCTCAAGCTGTCCAGCTCCAGGACCCGACCACACAAGCCTATAGGGATCCTCTTCTGAGACCCTCCTGGTTACGCAGGTATAATTGACCGTTTGCCAGGGAACTGCTGCCGCCCCAGCTCCGGTGCACAGTGGATCTGACAAGATGCTGCCGGCCCAGCCCCGGTGCACAATGGATCTGACAAGATGCTGCCGGCCCAGCCTCGGTCGCACAGTGGATCTGACAAGATGCTGCCCGCCCAGCCGCGGTGCACAGTGGATCTGACAAGATGCTGCCGGCCCAGCCCCGGTGCACAGAGGACCTGACCGGCCACTGCCGGCCCAGCCCCGGTAAACAGGGGACGTGAAGGGTCGCCGGGGTCTCCCTGCCCGCGCAGCCCCAGTGCTCAAGTCCCGCTTGCCCAGCAGCTGATTCTGCCGCAGACATGCAAGAGGCCGGGTCCTCTCAGGTCGCTGAGCGGACACTCACCATCTCCTGGCTTCCGAGGTATCCAGGGCCCGCCATGCAGGTCACAAGAGCAACGTAGAGCCCAGCGACCTCTTAGGCTCAGAAGCAGAAAAGCTGATTCTCTAAAAGGAGCCCAAGATGGCGGGCTCCAGCGAAAGCCCGCGAGATTTTGAAAGCCAACCCACCGTTCTGACTACGTGCCTGATTGGCCACTTCTCAAACAACACCTCTAATTAGACAAGACTTCATGCCCCCAACTCCTCTGACCTTGAATAACCATAAATGTCACAAACCCGTGGCTGACTGGGACCCAAAAGGCAAGTTTCTTAGTTGCAGCTGGTTTGGTTGAGGTTGGATTTGGTGGTTTTGCTCAGGTTTGGTCCTCTGGCTGCAGCTATTTTAAGGCAGAGCTTACACCAGGAGGGCCTAATCACATTAGTGGACATTTTAATTTGACTTTATATATAAAGTCATATCAATTTATGAATCATTTATCTGTAGTTACAAATAGAATGAGTATAATGATAATTAATTTTAAATTTTATTACCTTTTCCAGTCTCTGGTGTTACTGGAAAAACTCTTAACTCCAGCCCCAAAAGGCTAGGCTAGGCCATAGTCCCAGTTACAACCAAAGAAATGGGTTAAGAATGAAAAGCAAAATAAGATGGCTGGAGACAGCTCAGCAACTGAAAGTAGATACTGCTCCTGCAAAGGAACTGGGTTTGGTTTCCCACACATGTATCAGGTGACTCACAACCACCTGAAGCTCCAGCTCTTTTCTAGCTTCCTTGGGCGCTACAGTCATACACACACACACACACACACACACACACAAACACACACACTAAGATCTTTTTTAAAGAAAAGCAGAGCAAAGAATTTAATCTGTGTACACATAGGAGAAAGGAATAAATAAAGGATTCTAGTGATCCCCAAGTCTGTCTTTAAGGTGCCAATGTGAGATTTAGGCTTAACTAAAGGAAGAATTGAGGAAGGAGACTAAAGGTATGCACAGTTAAGCAGTCCTGGTCTGTTTATCATTATCTCAGTTGTAGTTCTGCAAGGTGATCTCAAAAGTTATTAGCTGTGTCAACGCAAAAGCATAACTCTCACATCAAAGGGGTTAAGAGATAGTTTATTCTGGAGCCAAATATGAGTGACCATGGCCCAGGAACACAGATTCAGGTTACCCCAAATTCCATGTTCTGGCATGGTAACAGTTATATTCCATTTTTATAGTAACAGAACAAAGAAAAGTGATAAATTGGGGATGGAGAGATGGCTCAGGAGTTAAGAGCAATGACTGCGCTTTCAGAGGACCCAGCTTCCAATCCCCGCACCCACATGGCAGCTAACAACCATCCATAACTCCAGATCCAGAAGATCCAGTGCCTTCCTCTGACCTCCAAGGGCATTGCATGACACAGGTGCACTTGCATGCAGGCAGTACACTCATACACATTTTTTAAAAATTTAAAAATAAAATATTTTTTTTAAAAAAGAAGAGTGATAAATCAAGACATTTTCCAAATTCATTGGTGGATACATTTAGTAGGCAGATCATGGCAAAGTGAGGGGTTTTCTACTATAGGTCTCAGATGCTATCTGATGACATTCTTAGCCTTTGATTGGTGAGACCTGGTGGTCTGCTAAGTTAATACATTTTATTAGTCACAAGAATGTTAATTCAGAAACAGAGGTAGGCAAGGTGTGGCTATTTATGGGGTTAAAGATGTCCCCAGATCATTTGTGACTAGGCTCTGGATCTGCAACATTCCAGACTCTCCACAATCTTGGGAGTGATAATCAGTTGGTAAGCCTTGCAGGAAATTCAGTCCAAGGTGCAGGAGTTCTTCCTGGGAACTTTCTTTCACACTTGAGAGGAGCAAGCTGGTTTCCATGATGACTCCTGCTGCACTGAGAAGTCTCAGTCGCCCTCAGAGGCTGGCCTATCCTAAGTTCCCCAGTTGCTTATAAGTAATTTTGGTTCCTTTTCAGATTTATCAGTCCTGTAGTTTCTGGAAGTCAAGAAGAGGCACCTTTTGCAGGGTCTGAAACAGGACATTATAAAAGCTGATAGAAAGCTGCCAAAATGAGACTGATAAAATAAATAAATAAAAATTAATCCTGGCATGCGGGAGGCAGAGGCAGGTGGATCCCTGTGAGTTTGAGGCCACTGTGGTCTACATAGTGAGTGCCAGGCCAGATGAGGCTACAGGGAGACCGTCTCAAAAAGAAAAGAAAAAAGAAAAGAAAGAAAATGAAAGCAGAACAGCCAAGCTTTTTATCCTGCATTTATTTACTTGTGGACCCAAGTAAGCAACTTGAGTTTTGAAATTAGAAGCAATCCCCTAAGGCAACAATGTCTAATACATATACAATGTAAAGTCCAAGTGTAAATTTAAATTTTTTAAAATTTTCTATTCATATTTTAAGAATTGAAAAAAGACAGATGAAATGACCAAAAAGCACTTTAAAAGATTCTCAATAATCTTTAGAGAAAGTCAAGATTTTTAAGTTGGCAAATATTTGAAAAATAAATAACAAATGGTAGCATGAACATGGAGAAAAGAGAATTTTTGTTTCTGTTTTTAAAATAATTCTAGGGACTTGGCTAGATGGTTCATCAGTTAAGAGCTCTTGCTGCTCTTCAGAGTATCTGAGTTTAGTTCCCAGCACCCACATGGGGGCTCACAACCATCTGTAACTCTAGCTCCAGGGGATCTGACACCCTCTTCTGGCCTCTGAGAGCACCTGCACACATGTACACACAGAGACACGTATACATAATTAAAATTATTAAATATTGACAAAAGCAATTAATTCTAACCTGTTCATGCTTCAGATGGGGATACAGACCACAGAAAACATCAGTTTGGTTGCACTTTCAATCCAGCGAATACCTTTTTACATGATTTTGTGGAAGCACATTTTCAAGTATATTTTAACTGATAACATAAAAATTGTACATATTAATGGTGCGACATATAATGTTTTGACATATGTACACATTGTGTAATGTATAAATCATGTGAGTCATTTTGGATTTTTTGGGGTCTTTTTGAGACAGGGTCTCCCTGTAGTCCCAGCTGGCCTGGAACTTGCTATGTAGACCAGGCTAGCCTTGAACTCACAGAGATTCAGCTGCCTCTGCCTCCCAAGTGCTGGGATTAAAGGCATGCACCACCACACCCTGCCCAAGTTATATCTTTTTAAAAAGTATTTTATGTATTATTTTTTATGTGTATCAATGTATTGTTTGCATATAGGTAGGTACACCTGTGTTGTGCAATGCCTGTGGAGATCAGAAGAGGGCATTGGATCCCCTGGAGCTGGAGTTAGATGGTTGTTAGCCACACGTGGGTTTTGGGACTCAAACCCAGGTCCTCTGCAAGAGCAGCTAGTGCTCTTAATCACTGAGCCATCTCTCCAACCCTGAGAGTCATATCCTATCTCTTCAAACATTTATTATTATGGTAAAAACTTTCAAAAATCTTCAAGCTTTTTAAAGTTTATAGTACATCATTATTGTATGTAGTTACCTTACTGCAGAATAACATAGCAAAATTTTCTTGCTCTCAAAATGATCAGCATTTGGGGCTGGAGAGATGGCTCAGTGGTTAAGAACACTGGTTGTTCTTGCAGAAGACCCGGGTTCAAATCCCAGTACCCACATGGCAGCTTCAACTGTCCATTACTCCAGTTCCAGGGGATCCAACAGCCTCTTCTGTCCTCCACGGGCATTGCATGACACGGGTGCACTTACCTACATGCAGGCAATACGCACATACCATAAAATAAAAATAATAAATAAAATATTTTTTAAATGATCAGCATTTCCTTATACCTGCCAACTCTCCCTGAATTCCAATAACTACCACTGTAGCTTCAACTACCATGAAAACAATTTTTTTACTAGGTTCCTTACATGAGTGAAATTATTTAGTATTTCCTATGTCTGCTTTATTTCACTTAACATAATGATCTTGTGAAAATTCCTTCCCTGGGGAGTTATAAACAACATCTAACCCCCTCCTCATAAGGTCTCAACAACAAACCAAAGTAAGATTCTGCCAAAGGACACCCTAAGGAACCAATGAGTTTATTGGGCTTATGTATAGAGCATGGGTGAGGGGTTGCTGGCAGGAGCATGAGTGACCCTAAAGCATTTGCCCTGGAAAGCCTGCACCCAGCATAGACGATGCCTCTCTGATGGCATCATGGATGGAGCCACCTCCTCTTTGTTATTCTTCCCCAGCATGTATACTCTACCCTGAGGCCACATGCAGTCAAGGCAGAATTGCATACAAATATCTGGACAGAGTGGCTGGAAACTCAGGTAAGGGTCCAATGACCCTCCCCACCCCCTCCATCTATGAGGGAATGTACAGTCCACAATCTTGATCATGATGGACTCTTGCTAGTAGGTAAAGATGATATCAGGAAGAAGGCAGTTGCTCAGTGCAGAGGACCACATTCTACAACAGATCTCCAGTTCCATCTGTGTTGTTGCAAATAACAGGATTTCATTCTTTTTATGACTGAATAGTATTCCATTGTGTGCTTATACCACATTTTATCTGTTCATAAGTTGGTAAACAGTTTGTTTCCATTTCTTGGCTATTGTAAGCAGTGCTGCAATGAACATGGCCATGAAAATGTATTTTGGACACAATGGTTTCATTTCCTTTGGATATATTTCCAGTAATGGAACTGAAATATATGGTGACTCTATTTTTAATTTGGAGAATTTACATACTGTTTTCCATCATGTCTCTACTTATCTGCAGCCTAAGCAACAATGTGAAAGTTTTCCTTTTATTCTCCTACTCATCAGCACTTTCTTTTTTTAATTATAGCCATTCTTAGTGGGGAAGGCATGGTAGCAAGACTGTGAGGCTGCTGGTTACATTGAATCTGCTGCTGAGAAGTAGAGAGAGATGAATGCTGATGCTCAGCTCACTTTCTCCCTTTCCTTCACTCAGGACCTCAGCCCATGGAATGTTTCCACCCACACTGAGGGTGCATATCCCCACTGCAATCTAATCTATATAATCCCTCATAGATGTTCCAGGAGGCATAATCTAAACTAGGTAATTCCAGAAGCTTGTCTTTTAGGTGATCCTAAATCCAGTCAAGTTCACAATAT